AAAAGGTCCAGAAAATGTACGTGTTTGGTATCTTCGAAAGTCACATAGTTTTGGGCTTAGGTTTTCGCTTGAATTGGTCGATGAAAGAATCGAAGTTGGTACGCCATTCTTATTAAGTCAAATATCAAAATTCCCTCCATATTTGCTCTCTCCTTTATAGTAATAGAACTAAAAAAATTTTTTTGGCTGAACTTTTAAAGTCTTTGGCTTTTCCAAGTCGAAGTTAGAGCACCTTCGTATTTATTCCTGATGAAAGTCGGAAACACTTGAAGGCAACGCATGCTAAAAGCGACCACTGACTGGCAAAGATAATAACCCAGGCTGGAACGCAATGGGCTTCCTCACCAAAACTTTCACATCTCTGCACACACATGAGTCCCTGGTAGTTTTGAACTCCTGAATTCGAAATCTCTTAGTCGCACATGAGTAGAGGATATTCCCTTAAAGTTCTAGCTTCCCAGCTTTTCTTGTCCTTAAGTTAGTAATTTTCCCGCCAAAATCCTCACATTTCTGTGCATGAGTCCCGGGCAGTCCTGAGGAGCTGAATTTGAAATCTTTTGGTCGTACCTGAGTATGTAACATTCCTCTAAAATTTTTTTATAGCCTTCTAGTCTTTCTTCTTCCCGAGTTAGCGATTCTTCCGCCTAAACTTTCACGTGTCTTTTGTACTTGAGACATAGACTTGCACGACAGTTGATAGCACATCCCCGGGGTCGTGGCCAGAGAACATACTGGCAAAATTTCAGCATCAAAGCTTGCGTGGTTGTCGAGTAGAAATACCCGGACAGGCGAACACACATACAGAGACAGGGTCACCGCAATATGCGTTTTACCACCTGTTGCAGCGTTCTAGTGCTGCACGACAAAAACGTATAAGAGGCGGCGTTGTCTTTTAAGCAATGGGTAGACTGCAGTGCGGCGCTTTGAGTTGTTACTACTGTAATGTAGGATACTGTAGCACTCAATACTGTAGCGCAGGATACTGTATCTCAGGATACGATATGTTTGTTCATCAGACAAAACTTATATCTATAGATGATGCACATATGTTTAGGTTACAAATGCTATTGTTGGCAATTGAAAAATTTGTTCCCTCTGCTTTGCGCAGTTGAAATTTGCTTTTCAGGATTATGAAGTTGCAATGAAACGCGTACGATCTCTGCTTGAGCTGGATTATGATGCTGAAAGCGAGAAAAAAGCCAATCCATGCCTTGATGTAATGTGGGCTGTCTTTGAAGCATTCAGTAAGTGAGGAGGGCCCGTCGTCCCGCTCTATCCCTCCATCTTGTTGTTTACTTATCTGTAATCAGTGTGAGCAAATAAAACCCCTTCAGCTGGCTCAAAATGCAAAGGAATAGGTTTTTATTAACAAAAGAAGAGCTGGGATTCTTTTTTTTTCTTTTTTGGCTTGTTGGATACATTTGGCGCCTCTTCCGAATTTTACTTTTTTTCTCTGCTCGCATGAGCTTTTTCCAGCACGTAGAGACGCGCCGTTTCAATGGTCCATAGCCATAGTTCATATCAGTGCAGCTTCGAAAGCAGGCATTGCTTTTGATGCCAAATTGTTGTTAGGTTATTACCATCGAAAGATTCATAGTTTGTATTTCGTTGTAATGTGTAGTTTTTATCACTCAATCCCCTGTGATAGGTTTCGAACTGTTGGCACTTTGACGTGGTGAACGCGTTGAAGTTCAAGTCGAATTGTGTTTTACGCGATTCGTAGACAATTTTTTTTTTTTTGTAATTGAGATTAGAAGCCTTCCAGTTGTGCAAAGGCTCTTGTATGCTGACTTAGTTCACTGCCATCCAGAAACGGATTTTGAATCCATGAGATGGAAAATCCACGGGTGAAATTCCCATGAGATGAAAAATTCACGGGTAAAATCCCCACTAGATGAAAACTTCTGAGTGCTTGACCTTCCTTGTATCTCATTTTTTGACTTACTGCATTCCATCATCTGTAGGTATTGTTCCGTAAAGAAAATCAATCTGCTGAGATTGATCCCGTGGCCAGAATGGTACCATTCTGTCTAAAAGAGCAAATTTTATCACATTTGCTATTTTTTATGCGCTTAAAAATCCTTATTGATCCATTTTTTTGGCTTCTCAACGGAGCAAATGATTGTGGCACAAATTCATTTTGTGGCAGGTTTTTTTCTTTTTTTTTTTTGTTTACTTCCTTACTACTTGATTGTTTCGGAGAAATCCCACATCCAGTAGAAAGTAACGGCGATGGAGATTCGAATTTAGGTGCTTAAAAATCGTTACTGCATCCAGGAATACTGTGTGGTTACAAGAAATCGTCTTTCCGTGCCTTGAATTTATTAAATTCATCTTTTTGGCTTTACTTTTTCCCCTTATATTTTTATAATTTTTTTTTATAATTTCTCCTCTTCCAACTTCTTTCACGGACGTTTTTGGGCGTGGAGCTGTTGATATTGATTTTTCGATGAGAACAATGAAAAATTGGAGATCAGCATGCGTTGCGGCTCGAAATCCAGATCTCAGTTGAAGGATTTAGTGTTACTGGAGCTTAGTTCATGGTGCCTCGCATCTTTTTTTTTGCTATTTCCGGATTTCGACTTCATTCTGCGCAAGAAATGCAGTTTTTCATTCTATTGGCCTATTGGAGTTCAGTTCTTTTAAGTGTTTAGCGAATAGCACTGTTCAGTCTGTGATATATGCTGTACCAAGGCAAATGCTGTTCTTCGCTTTCGTGCCTCAGAACGGGGTTTTTTTTTGGAATTTTTGATAAAAATATTGCGTTTATTTTCTGTTCCAAATATCCCGGATCAGTTACACTTGGGTCGAGAAATCCAAGGGCGAATGCCGGGAATTTGCTCGAAGCTGACTACTGTACACTGATTGTCTTTTGTACGAATCTGATTATCGAAGTTTTTCCAGTCCGAAGAGCTGCGCACTCTTCCGGAACGGTTGTATATTGTATTGGTTTCTTCAATTTTTGTGGGATTTTACACATTGTGTAAAAAAAAAAAAGACGGGATGCGCTCTCGTTGTTTATAGACATGCCTTCTTTGAACTATTACTATTATTATTATTGTTGTTTGTAATTCTCATGCAAATTTCTCTTAGCCAAAACTCTTTTATTCTCATCAGTCGCAGGAACCTGTCCCTCATCTTAGCCAAGGCCCTCCCTCATCTTCAGGTGACCAGAACCCCCGCATTTTGTATGAAGCCTGCAAGCCCTTCATCTTTGCTAGCCCCCTGGAACCCTGGTATCATCTTAGCCAAGGCTGCAATATGTACATTGGTCCAGGAACCTTGCTAGTCAGTTTTGTTTCTTTCGGTATACTGTTAACAACATTTTTATCAATAAATAAATAAAATGTTCATTTCGAATATACTTTATGATAATACACAAATCATCGGCTAGTGGATGGGAGTGTGGAGTGGCTTTAACCGTTTGACTGAATATACGTATTAAAGACAGAAATACTGATGGCGTAGCGCAGTGGAAAGTAGAAGCTATTCTTCTGTCATGAAGAATCGCGGGTTCGATTTCTTGATTGGACAATCAACCTCTTTACGATTCGCTCATTCGTTTCGATGGTAAATTGGTACCGGTTTGTGCCAAAGAGTCAAAGCCGTCATCAGTTTGCTTCTGAATAGCTCTCAAAAAAAAACTGTTGACAACGTTACCAGCAAGTGGTTGTGGTTGGCTCATGCTACCAGTCAGTTGGTTTCTAAAACTCTTCCTCGTGCCTTGAAGAGAGCGAGTGTAGAGGAGGATTTTAACCTTGACATTGCTGGAATTCGCTTAAAATTGGAAAGATTACTAACTACTCATATCGGATACAACGACATTCAGAAGTATTGTTGAGAAAAGCAGCTCACACTGACGGGACGATCAAGTTCTGGAAGGATGTTAGTGCTGTATTTGGTCACCTCTGTATTAAAGCACTGAAAACGCAGGGAAGGTTTGTTTCGATTTATGCTTTTTGAGGGTCGCTCCTTTTATCCAGTGTGTCCTGGAGCCAAGTCAACTTATCAATTGACCATGTGTAAGCCGATTGTAGCAAATAGATTGACCCTGGAAGCCTAGATGGCGAAGGTGCAATAGATTACAGTATAGTCCGGAGAGGACGGCAGCTGATGCGAACGGCATTTTAACTGTTCAGGACTTTCGGCTTAAACAACCTCTGTTGGCTCACACGAAGATTTCCACTGCTAGAACTTTTGTTACTTGACAGTCCATTACTATTTTTGATTAAACTATGTACGGCGCATCGGGCTCCGTCCCTCTTTTTGATATAAAAACACTCATCAGAAGGTTTCAATAGCAACTTTGAAACCGTACAAGTTCCAACTGGTGAAGGGAGCTAATGTGATGTGTTGAGAGTGCGCCTTGACTCCTTCCGTGAATATTAAAACGAAGTTTTTATTGCCTTTTTTAGACTAAGTAGATTGCAGCTTCCAGGTCAACCTTGGAAGAGCAGATGGTAGGATGGGCAAGTGCAGAAGAAAGTAATGAAGGCTGATGATGAGAGTGAGATTAGACGTTTCGGTTCATTAAATCATATACGTAATTTTGGGGCTTCCCAACTTACAATGCCGCTCGATTTCCACTACCCGAAGACATGTATTTCCCACCAATTCGTTCAGTTTGTGCGCACGCCCGAAGCATTATGCGTCTCTGCTCTACAACAGTACTGCAAAAAGCAAAATACTGAAACAATTTATCACTAACAAAAATAAAATCTATACATCAAGCTCATTAAATATCACTAAATACATTATCATTTATCACTAAATACATTAAATTCAAAATACTGAAAACAAATTCATATATTAAACTTTACACATTAACCACTGAAATGAACTCCATACATTAAATACATATATGAAAACAAGTAAAAAAATTAAATACACAAATCTATACATTAAAAAAGAAACATGCGAAACAAAAATATTCCACGTACAACAATTATTTCATAAACCAATATAACAAATTCCTTGCGTTTCTTCGATCGTCCAATCATCAGCGGTGAAGGACCGACCTGCCGCTCTGTCTACATTCAATCCTAAAAAAATCATTCAAAACTATGAAAAATCAAAAATTTACAATTAGACAAGAACCCTTTGCGCAAATATGCACATCGCTAATAAAGAAGTAGGATCGAGAGAGATACTAGTACACCCACTTAGAGCTTGGTAAACAGTAACTACTCTAACTCCACCGAAGTGCCGACGAATATAGCGATTTTTAGACGCTACCAGTTGTAATCAATCCTCGTAGTGGGAGAATTCAACAGGCTTGCGAAAGGGCGGATGATTTTGGCGTCTGTTGGCACTCCTCTTAATGTCGCATTTCATCAGGTGTTGGAGCGGTACTGATTTTTATTTGATTTTGCATAATGTTTAAGTGCAAAAATACTTGAAAAGCTACTCATATCTGCTGAGATTCTCTTCAGATTTTACAGTTCAGCAACAAAGCAACTAGGTATGTTATCTCCCAAACATAGCGTCAAAAACGCAAAACCACTTTTTTCGCGTGCCCGACATCCGAACAACCTAACGCACCAAAATCTTGTATGCAATCACGTCTGCGCCTTTTCCAATCAGAAACTCATTCCTAGCCTTCGAAAAAAAGCCGATCAGTACAATTTCAAAATGATTGGACATATCAAATAGTAAAATTGTTTATATTTTTAACGATAAATGCTCGCTGGGTAAAACTTTGAAAAAATGCAATTT